CACCTGCTTGCTGCTCTGTTTGTGTTTCTTTGCCCACGCAACGGGGTCTCTTGCGCAGCCCCTTGGGCAGTTGCTGGCCGGCGCCTTCGCTGTGGCCCTCCTTACCCCTGCTTGCCTCTTGTTTGGTTGGTTTCAGCTCTCGAGTTCGGCCACAGCTGTGCTTGCCGTCTTTCACAAACGGGGGCGAATGCACGATGCGGGTTACATCTTCCTTGTGACGCCTGTGCTGCTTGGCGGGCTTATTGTGTTTGCTTGCTCGTGGCTGATGAACAGCCTTATACCATGGCGACCATCCTATCAGGTTTGTTGGTGAATTCATTGATGGACTGTGTTCCGTTCCTTTTTTTTTGGTACTTACTTTCGATGTCACGGCTCATCTTTGGCGAATTATTTCACACGTTCTGCCTTTCCCCGCGTGTGTGTGCACGCGCCGGAGGGCCGAACTTTGAATGAACCGGAGGGCATCCTCCAGTACTACCGCCCGCAGAATCATCGCCGCGGTTCCGCTCAATCGCCGGAACAGGGCCCCTTTTTTGTTTTGTTTCTTTCGCTGCCCATTTTCTTTTTCCTAAAAAGTTGGGGGAAAAAAAACGAATATATTTTTTTTACTGACGTGGTGACTGTGCCGTGTGGCTTGCGGAAGTATCTTTTGGCCGGACTGGGCCCAGTGGGGGCGCGAGGTACGGTGGGGCCGTGCGCGCCCCCACTGGCGCTCTCTCCTCTCCTCCGCTGCCTCCTGTGCACCGTGCCCCTCCTCCCTCCCTCTCTCTCCCTGCGGCAGTAATTTACAGGCTACACAGCAAGACAATCACAAGGCAGCGGTGAGTATGGCGGTGTGCTGGAGGCGGCGTGGCTGCAGTGCGCACTTTGGCTCGTGGCCCTCTGCGGCGTCGCCGTGCCTCCTCTTTCTCCTCGTCCTTCTGCTGCTGCTGCTGCTGCTTCCGTTGCCCCCGCACAGCGCAGCCGCCCAAGCCGGGGATCCTGGCACCCCAGTGAAGGTGCTGCTGATGAAGCGAAATGATTTTACCGTATTCCGCCCTATGTCTGCTGCGTTTTACGCCGGCGTGTATGCCTCGCTGAGGGCGCACAACTCCACGGCTGCGGGCGATGTTCGCGTTGAGGTTGTCGAAAGGGAGACTGATTTGGACAAATACGTCACCGTCCTGGAGGACGCGATGGAGAAAGACAAGGACATTCTGGCTATTCTGGGCCAGTTCGGTGATACTCCCGTGATGAAGGTGCTTTCAGTTTTGCCTCGCTATGACCTCGTCGCTTTTGCTCCGTTCACTAGGTCGGGTGCGGTGCGTGGGTGGAACCGCCACGTGTACTTTGTGCGTGTTAGCCCTGGGGCCGAGATGCTGACGCTTCTCCGCTACGCCGTGATTCAGCTGCGGGTGCTTCGGCTGGGCTTAATGTATTCGCAGGGTGCCCATTTTGGCGACAGCGAGTATGAGCAGGCACAGCGTGTGATGTCGGCGATGGGCTACAAGTTCTGCGGCGTCTTCACCGTGAAAAGCCCTTCTGAGTGGCGAGGCCGACCCTAAAGAGTTCGACGATGCGTGGAAGCGGTTTGCCGCGACTCGGCCGCAGGCCGTGATTATGCTTGGCTCGCCGATAGAAGACACCGCGCAGTTCATTAAGAGGATGCTGACGGACAGGCGCACCGCCGGCGCGTACCTGCTGGCTCCCATTGTGATGCAGCCATTTCTTTTGAGCACGTGGCGTGCTGCCGTGGACGATGATGGTGTCAAGTTTGTGCCCGGGCAGGTGATCACGACGGGGACGAACCCGCTGGCGAAGGACAGACGGTACAAAGTCATCCAGCGCTTCCAGGGGGTGATGCGGGATTACCTGAAGAGCAGTGGGCAGAAGGACTACAGCGACACGGATCATTTCCTCAACAATGACGGCGGCGGGGAGCTGATGGTTGAAGGGTGGATTGCCGGCGAGGTGCTCGCACAGGCGCTGAGGGACCGTAAAGGGGTGAAGGACCGCAAGTCGTTCATGGCGTCCATCTTCAACCAACGCCGGTATGTAATCGACGAGCTTGTGATTGGCGACTACGGCGGCGAGTGCGAAGATGAGGCTGCAGCACGGGGGGCCGCCTGCCGCTGCAACCAGGGCGGCACCGCGGTGTACATGAAGCGGTTCGTGGAGGGCTTCCGAGCGCAGGCAATTGAGGAGGGCCTCACGACGTTCCCCCCGTCAGATTGTTACGGTTCATCGCATAACATACCGCGAGCGTTTATGGGGGTCGATTTTCTAATGAATGATAGCGCTGTCGCACAACGTGCCTTTGCCGAGTTGAACACAGGGGTTGCTCTGGCAATTACCAGCCGTAAGGCCTCGTGGGATGAAGCTGAGATCAACATGGCCTCTCTTACCTCCGCACTTGCTGATGCCCGTGCTGCCCTGCAGTCGGAGCTGCAGTCACGGCGGGTTCATGGGATTGTGGGTGTTGTGACGGAGGCGATGCTGGGCGTGGAGAGTGTGGCCTTCATTGACCCGCTGCAGCTCGAGCCGCGGCTGAACAGGTTCCGTCGGCACGTGATCCACCTGTCGCCGACGCTGGAGCAGCAGTTCTTCGTGCTTGCGGAGTACCTCCGGGACACGGGTGTCC